ATTTCCTTGCAATGTGTTAGTTTCAGATGTTTGTGAATTTACATCAATTAGTTGCTTTAACCGTTTCAAAAACTGAAGCATTTTGTATACGTAGAGTAAGGCAATCAAGATTGCGATCTGATGACAATGAGATTAATGTTTAAATATGAAATGGATACTTGTCATTTATTATATTATCAGAGAACTATTAAATTGGGTGAAATTGCTAAGAGAGTTATTGAATGCTCTGCCAAAATATATTTACTAGAAAACTGTAATTTGATACTGAATGTATCCAAAAAAGTGTTTTTAAGTTAAAAATTTGCAACCTGATGGCTAAAGTATAAAATTGTGCATGTTAAAATATTTGTCATTAGACATATAGGTCAGGTTAAGTTTTAAATAAAGTTTGCAAGGGCTATCTGTTTAAGAGGAGAGATGCCTTCGGGGAGAACTTTAGAAGAAAAACTGTCTTTTAGAGTGCTTATTCAAAATAATGCATGTCATTTTCTTTCAATTTATATTTATCCATATTTCTTATGTCAAAATTCTGATATATGCTAACTTATTGTAAATTACTTTACTCTAAAATATAGTGAATGCACAGAAAATAAAGATTTGCACATGCTGAAAATGAAAAATATTAAATATACATGAGTATCTATGCATCCTTTGTAAAACGCATGCACTTGCCTTCAACAAAATACGTAAATATTTGTTAAATTATTTATAAATGTATTTGAAAATGAAGGATTTATTCGTTCATAAACTCCTATGAATGCTGCATCGAATAAATCTAGTTATTAAACATACGAGTATCTAAAGTTATAATGCTTATGAATATTATCTAAATATATAATGACCTTAATATTTAATTGTAAACACAAATTGAAATTCTGTAAAGCGATATATTTATCTAACTATAATACGTATATATCTATAACTATATCTATCTATAAACTATCTAAGCAAGAATTGTTCGTATAGGAAAACTATCTATTAAAAGGTATTGTAAAGCACAGTCTATCAGATGCGTACTTAAGTAAATAGTAAAGTAGAATTTTTAGAATATATATTTTTTTAAATCAAGGGTCAGAAAATTTTTTATAAGTTTTAAAAGAATTATTTCCTTACATTTTATAATAATTCATAGCCAAGATTTAAATAATATTAACAATCCCCCTTTTTAACTCTTTTAGAAATGCTCATAGAAAGTTAATTATATAGAAATCTGAAATCAGCAACAATAATTAACGTATTTAACTCTTAAAATAAAAGGTGCTTTAATTTGAAATGAACTGAAAAGAGAAATAATTATACAGTGGCTGTAATTTTTGGTTAAAAAGACGCCTCAGAAGCTGAAAACCATGTCATATTTGATAAAGTACTAAGCTGATCCAGAAAGTAAGTATCCTTTGCGCATATTTCCCGCGCATCTGACGACGGTCACGCATAAGTAGTTACCTCGTTCAAGAACTCGAGAACGAGTTAGCTTAGCCATTTTGTTTGTTTACGTTAACGTTTGAAGTCATCGTTCTTCGATAAATATCTTTAAAGCAATCGATCGGCCCACCAGCTGTGAAATAAGAGCCGTTATCAAGTTTTTCAATACAAGAAATATTCATCCTTGTGAAGTTTATCTTCAGGTAAGTGAAACTAGCGAAGAGAAGACGGTGAGTGAAAGTGTGATGCAAAAGTGGGTTAGGATGTTTGACGAAGAAGGCAAAATGTCCAAGACGAGGAGCGCAGTAGAGCTCTCACTGAGCAACCGAATAAAGTGCATCGACGAAAAAGTTCGTTCCAATAAGGCGATTCACGATTTCTGATTTGTCAACGCATTTTCAAAACATTTCACTATATGTTTTACACGAAACTCTGATTGAATATTCGCATTACAAAATATTATGTTCGCGATGGGTCCCGACGAACACTAACTGCGTGAGAGAAGCCTTGGAGTTATTGCAGCATTATGCCGACAGGAGGAAATGATTTCTTGAAACGGATTGTCACAGACGATGAAACATAGATTTGTTACAAGACACATGAAATAAAACGGCACCCACTGGAATGGTGACACTGGTTCTATGAAACCCGAGAAACCAAAGCCATCTCTTTGCACCGAGTTTTGAGACTGTCAAGGAATTTTGTTAGTGAACTTGGAGGAACGAGGCAGAACAATCAATGCTACAACTTATTGTGAGACAGTGACGGAGTTACAGCGCGGGATAAAGAACAAAAAGTGTGGACTACTGACTTCTGGTATTTTGTTCGTGCAGGACAATGCGCCACCCCATATTGCACGCCCAATAACGACGCTGTTTGATAAATTTCGCTGGGAACAATTCTGCCACCCTCCTAATAGTCCAGACCTACCTCCATCCGACTTCCATTTGTTTTCTCATCTTAAGAAATTTATTGTCGACCAACACTTCGCAGGTCATGATGAGTTCAGGGCAAATGTTCAGAACTGGTTCAGGTCGCAGAGGGGTGAATTTTACGAAGCGAATATGTTGCATTTAGTGACGTAGTATGCATATGCCTTAATGTGCATGGTGAATATGACGTAAAATATTTTAAGGTGTATAGAGTTTTCTGTAATAGAATACAAATGGAAACAAACTGCTAATTTTTTTTAATACCCGAACGGTACTTACTTTCTGGATGAACTTCAAATAGGAGCTCTGTAAATGTAAAAGAAATAAACATAATTTCAATATTATTAACACAAAAGAAAAACTTTTATTTTAATTTTTGCAATCGTTAACCGAATAAAATCGAATTACCTTAAAATTTCTTTCTAATGTAATTAGCGAAAATGTGTCAAATGGGAAAAACCAGTTTGGATCTCTCCTTTCTTTGCTACCTCCATCCGCATATCCAGTGAAAGTGAAATGCAGGGAGAACTGAAAAAAATTAATTTTAGCGTTAACAGAACAAGAACTCCCATTTCTTTCACGAATTCCCCTTTAATTTCTCTCACGAAGCCACGGTATAATCTGTAATAGATACGGTGCAGATTTTGCTGTCAATATTGGCGAATCCAGGATTTTACTCAGGAGGAAGCTGAGATCATAAAACTTTTGTGTCGTCGTGACGTCTCTAAATTTTCCTGGAGAGAACGAAGGTATTTCCTTCATCTGTTATCATAAATTCCTACATCAGGTGCTTAAGCAAGCTGAAAAAAATCTAAATGATGTTTTAAAGACCTGACTATAATGATATAAATATAGATATATAAAATAGAATCATATTCTGTTTATTATGAAATGTTGCAACACAACACTGTAAAATTAAACATTAAACTGAACAAGATAGAAAATGACAGAAAATTATAAGCTGTTGATTCATACGACGACTCTTTTGGCCTAACATACTGAGCACATTACTAACATTTATGTACGTTTCATAATACGTATTCATAACACCCAGAGGATAAGTCTGTTTTCCCCTGTTGCGTTCCACAAATACGTCTTCAATCTTCTGTCAGTACTGTAGCTCATTTTTGGAGTTGCTGTTGTTACTGATATAACTGAAACTATTCTAAAAACCTCGGGCATGTTGGAAAACATCTCTTTTTCAAATAGATTTAACATTTCAATAACCGACAATTTGGTGTCTGGAAAGTCACTTATTTCTCTTTTCCATAGTATATATTCAGCGTGTTCCTGTTCAGTAGTTATGTAGGCTCCATATTCAAGAATATCATTCACATATAATTTGATCAATATGTCGAAATTGTTTATTGTCCTCAGACTGAGCCCATTATCAAACAGGACAAGAAGTTAGAATATCTTTATGAACTAAAAATCTATTCTGAATTTCTGCAATCATGGCATCCATAAATTTGAGAAAAAGAAATACGGTTTGGAATCAGTAATATATGGATGTCAAATAATACAATTCGAGATCGTTGGACCGATCGATTTGTCGTTTATTGGTCCTCGGAGTAATGATTGTCATCTCATCCCATAGTGCTTTTGCTTTAGGAAAACGTGTCTCAGAATTATCATCTGTACGTTTTTCTGATGTCCAACAATATGTCTTTGAAACATATGGGCATATTTTACGGCGACAGCCAAGCATACACCTTCTTTTTTTAGATATCTGCTTTCTAAAATGTATTCAATGTATTTTCTAAAATGCATTCAATGTATCAATTTCTAAAATGCATTTCTAATACGTATTCACTCACAGAAAGGCAAAGCATAAATTTCATAGTGAGGATGGAGTTGAGTAATCCAGTGGCACCAGTCGACACGTCACGATCAGTCCAATGACTAACTTCATCCAAGCCTTCGCATATAGAATTTAACAAATAAGTTCAGCGAACGAAAATTATTATAGAGTCATGTCGCTTCATCCATCTTGTTGGGCATAGTTTCTTCAAATGCATTTTTTTTATTCGGGGCAAAATTCATCGATCTACCTTGATAAAATTTGTCTCTTTGCGGTGAGAAGGAATTAATATGTCTTTTAAGTTATCCCAAAACAATATGTGATGTCTTGGCAAGAATCCGAGGTTGCAGGATTTAAGCAATGTGATATACAAGAGAGTCATGCCTCTCCACGCTTCCTGTGGGGTATAGATTTTTTAAATGCATTTTTTTTATCGGAGCAAAATTCATCGATCTTCTTTGATAAAATTTCTTGTCTGTCGAGCCTGTCAGGCCAGAAAGCAATGTTACCATGTTTTTTTAAAGGATATTAAAAACAAGCAGGTTGGGGATTTAAAAAAAATCAAGAATTCTAGTGCAACTTTGGAGAAGGCTGCAGTCCCATAGCACTCCCTCCCCTAGATTCGCCAGTGGTGGTGAATGTTTGAAATTATACATTCTCCTCAACTTAAGGGCCCTTAAACCGGACTTGCTACCAATAAAGTAAAATGTGTTAAATCACATCCTTGGAGTGATTAAGTATGGGTTTCCTTCTACTATTAGTATTCAATAAATCCGTACTTTTCAGTGTGCAGTTGTGCAACTCTAAATGCAGATAGCTCATTTGACTTTCTTTCTTTTTCTAAGGTATGGTTTCAGAACAGGAGGGCCAAATTTCGAAAACAGGAGCGTCTGAACCAGCAGAAACAGGCTCAGCAGAGCAATGGCAACTCACAACCTAACAACAGTAGCAGCAGCACAAGCACGTCCTCAACCACCAACAATGGAACAGACAGCACGGTGTCTAACATGAAGGAAGGAGGTAGCAGTGGCTCCTCTTGTGTTGGAAAAGACACCAAACCACCCGTCCTGTCAGCGATTAATTCAGATAATAAAACGGTGAATGGTAAGTAACTTGGAAAAATGAGCCTAGCTTTCTTAACCTCTTCCTCTTTAGTTAGGTTCGAAAGAAGCTAAAGTAGGGCAAACACAAAGCAATCTTAATTGTCATATTTTTGAAAGGAACTTAAAATAATTTTACCACTTTTGCCTATTAAGAGGAATAAAAGGAAAAAGATAAATAATATGAATAAAAAGGAACTCCGAATGCCTTTATAAATTTATCTGGCCTTATGTAACGCCCGAACTAAAATGTAGTGAATGATAAATTGCTACTACTTGGATTTTGCCGACTAGGTCGCATTACTGTCGCCCCATCACCTTTTAAAGGGGGAGGGAGAATATAGAAAATTATTACATTCTGTTGTATGTGCTCTCATACTGTAACTATTAGAAAACCTGGCTAGCCGTCAGAAAGTCCATAGTTCGAACCAGGTGAGGGCATAATTCATTTGTGACGTTTCTTGCTTTGGAAACCTAACAGTCTCTGCAATCACAGAAATCGAATAATTACAGAGAGACAACAGCTTAAAAGTTATGGTTAAGAGCCACGTATTTCTAATATCTTTAATATCTCTCTAAAAAAGTAGAAATAAATTTCAAGTAACTACTTGATACTTCCATAGTGGTATACGTTAATTTTTTCCTGATTTGAATTGTAAATAGAATAGTTTCGTCAATCAGATAGGTTTATTATTGTCACAACACTAGTTTAATTTAAATTTAATTTTAAATTATAAGAATTCATATTTATTTATGACTATCAGTACCTTAAAACTGAATTCAATATCCACTACTTGTGATAAAATTTAAATATACTGGAAAAGAAAAGAGTAATAATGCATTCTGGTTATTAGTAAAAAGAAGATAAAAATCGTATAAAATGAACATTTTTCTCCATAGCTTTAGAATTTATAACGAACTTAATGCCTACAAACTGCTTTTAAGTTTGTAGTTTGAGGAAAAGAGTGTAGAGGAAAAAGGCGAAAGATATTTGCAATATTTTACTGAAACGAAAAGACATTTTGAAATGATTACAAATTCTTCACCTTTTGGGAAAAAATTTGTGCGTTTATTTCTGATTTGAATCTCCTACGGACAGTTCTGAAATGTTGGCAGCACCAAATCCACTCAATGGAAGAGAGTTCAGTGGCACCATAAATTGCAGGAGTCAATACGATTTAGGACCTTGGATTCGGCCTTTTCATCAACACCCCAACGGCCAATGCTATACGGGCATGCAATCTGGATGCTGCTCCCCTGTCGGACTCCTCCTCCTCTCTCTCTCTCTTTGATCGCTCTCTATCCATAGGAGCATCGGGCACAGGGGATGTTTGGAGGAAGAGGAGAAAGAGAGAGAGAAAGGGAGCTGCAGAAGTCATGCTTCCATTATCCCGCATTCCACTGACGCTAACTGAAACAAATGGGACACACCGAAAACCATTTACGGAATTGCCTCGACCCATCTGGCATCACGTGGCGGTTGTCTTGATCCACCTCACTCCACCTCCTCGTTTGCTCTCACCGCCACGTGCCACCGAGGCCTTCACCTGAGGCTGAACGTTGTCACATCGCTTATTTCTTTGGATCCCCCCCCTACGCCCTCTGCCAGACTCGAAGAATGGACCCGACCCGACATGGAATGTCGTGGATAAAAATAAGATCCATGAAGAACTATGCTAGATACTCATTGTAATTAGGCTGATGGGCTTTTTTGCTCAGTCATTGCTGTTGTTGTTATTGTCCTGCTGGATCTTTTTTTGGGCACCAGTTATGGCTCTGCTAGAGTTGTCCCCAACGTGCCGAGAGCTAAATTGCCTTTCAGATAAAGTAGGTCTCCACTTAGGAGACTCAACTTTCTTTTTTTGCTTCAATTCTGTGATGTTAATTTAGAAGATAAATTTCTTATTTTTATTCCCTCCTTTTGAAAACTTTTCTTGCCATCAGTTGTCTAAGTTCTTTCTTTTTCTCCAATGCCCTAATGGTAGTAATTTTCCAAGAGAAACTAGGCAAGCATCTGGCATGTATGGATTTTTAACTCTAGCTTTTAGCTAGCACACTTACTTGGTTGGTTTTAGTGTAATATGTTAAATAACACACAATATTTATGATACATTGTAAAATTCATAGTTGTTCCCGATAATCTGTTTTACACTAAAGTTATTTACATAAGTAACTATGCTATGGGGGTTATGTAACTATATTAACTATGAAACTGTTATAATTCGATTGAAAGAATCAGCTCGAAATTATATTTCCCTGATGCAAACACAGAAAAAATTTTATGAATCGCCAATACACTTTTAACGAATTAAAAATAAAGTGCAATTTTAAACTAAGGCATGGTATGATTTTAATTTAGAGTTTTTATCATGATGTATTTAAATACATCGAAAAAAGTCTCTTAGGAGTATTTATTGTTTTCAATTTTCGATAAATCTTACTTGCGATTAACTAATTCCATTTCAAAACGACAATAAAGATATTTCATCAAAAATTAATATAGGTGCACTACTCAGTACAGAACTAATCATTTCAAAATTATTTTACTTATTTCAATCTAGAGTGTGCTTTCATCTTCATTAAAAAAATAATAAGATGAAATTTTACAGTAATATAGAGACTGTTAGCCACTTTATGTATTTATTTTATTTTTTATTTGTTTAAAGAGTAATATACATTTTTAATAATTTAATATTTTTCTACTTACATCACTCAGAAAATAGATGAACAAATAAACGTAGCTTTTAAAACTTAATTGCGTTAAGGTTAAGTTTTATTAGATATTAGACAGTGTTTTTTCGTATTTCCGTGAAACATCTAAAAAATTCATAACAAATAAATACGCAATCCATGTTAAATTTTATTACAATATAAAAGAGAAAAAATAAGTTTGTTTTAAACACATTTTACAAGTCCTCTTTGTCTTCCCTTCTGTACATCTGTAAATTTGTTCGAGAAACCATTTCATCCACCACACGTATATTACAATCTACCACAGTGTCTAGACATAGTTATGAAGATTCTGAAGATCGACGGAGAGAGAAGACACTATGACAATACCCTTGACACACATCCTAAAGAAAAGAAATCACATGAAATTCAATCTAAAAAGTCATTGGCCACTGCAATTTTTCTTTTTTCTTTGGGGCGGAGGGGACGCATAAATTTCTTAGAAGCGCATCCTATCCAGATTAGTTGCACACTTTGATTGAGATACTTTCTTAAAACTTGTCGACAATTGTCTCTGTATTATGAACCAGAAAGCATTATGCTAAAAGAAATAAACATCACTCTTTCTTATATTTTCTTATAGTCTTTTATGTTTCTTAAACTACGGAGAAGTTTCACGTTCTTTTTCTCTTTTAAGTAGTTTGAAATGAATTTAAAGGTGTTCAATATAATAACGTTTTACAATAATGCTTCATATACCATTAAAATTGGCAAATTTGTTACATGTAAAATATTTTAAAAATTTAAATTCTGCGGTTAAATTAACAGCTACATTTTCAATGTAATCTGACGTGTTGTTTAATTAGATTTTCTTTGCAACTGCCTTTTGTAGTTTTAATGTTAGTTTTTATTTTTAAAAATTGTGTATTTATTTGTGCGAGAATGTTTCACGTCGAAGTAATCGCAAACTTTTTGATATTACGGTGTAAATATTATATAAAAAGTTTTCAATTTTCATTTTCATTTTATTGTTTATTTTAATATTCAATTGCTCAGAAGGCCATGCGGAACGAAACGTGATTCAGTTCTCTTGGATTATTAAGGTTTTAACGTTTCAGATTATTACCCCTTGATAAGTCGGTTTGGAGCATTAAAACACAAATAATCCAAAATGTATTATAAAAGTTTAAAATGTGTGGTAAGTTCACTTTAAATAAATTAAATTTTTTTCAAAAATAGTATTGGATCCTCTTAACTTCGTATTTCTCAATTTTAATTGATTTGTTTTAAAAACAATTATGGAATTTTCCTAGGTGGGTTTAATCTAATTTCACATATATATAAATATATATATATATATATATATATATATCAGAAACTTAAAAAATAATTAATAAATGATATTAATGTAGTGAAAAATGCTGCGAAATTAAATAATTAAAAGCGAGATAAAATACATAGAATTAATAAAATAATAGTCTCAAACTATCCAACAGGAAGGCACAAACTGAAAATAACTGAGGTAAAAATTTGGAAAACAAAGCAGAAATAAAAGTAAATCAATACTAAAACAAAACAATAATCATTAAATATTCAGTAATAATTAATCCTAGTGCTTGGCACATTTTTTGTTCACCTATTTTGGTTTTACTGATTGGTTAATTTCTTTCTTAAATGCAAACTGAAATTTAAATTACCTTTTACTTGTTTACTTCTAAATACTTTTCATTTTCCATATTCACAAAGCTTAGGCATTTTTGCCTTTTCTGTAATTTTGGATCCTCCAGTTGTCTTGTTTTTAGCAACATGTACATTTTACCACTTTGGTACTCCAAGTCACTAATTTAATTTTTTTATTAATATAAAAAAATTTCTTGTGTAAATTTTGACTTATTGTTTTTCTCTTTCGTATGTTATATATTTTTATTCGAAGCACATCGTAATTGGTTACATCTTGATGAGTGCATTTTAAAATATCTTTTACAATAAAAAATATTTTAACATTTAGAATTTAAATTTACAATAAAAAATATTTTAAATGCTTTATATTTTGAATTATTATATTCTCATTTAATAATATTGGATCTAAATTTTTAAAAAAGGAGTCTTTTTTCTAGAAAATAAGCATATTATACTTGAAATATAGCCAAAGTTTATTACCGACTATTTTAATTTACAATTCATCCTAGTATTATTCAGAAACTTGGCGCTGTTAATAATTCTTTCGGCTGTTCCTTGACAAAGACTAAAAAATTATAAACTATTATTTATTTTTAATGATTATGTAATATAAATTTAATTATTATTGATTTATTTTAGTATTAGTTTTATTTCTGCTTTGTTTTCCAAGGTTTTCCTTCAAACGTTTTTTTAATTTGTGCTTTTCTGTTGGATAGTTTGCCACTATATAAAAACTTGACGAGTTCACTTTTACGTCAGCGTAATAACACTTACTATTAGCAGTGTAGTTTATATTTTATGACTTTAAAAAAATTTCACCGATTTCTGAATAACACTTATATTTCTATAAAACTAAAGTTTTTTTTTTTTTTTTTTTTTTTTTTTTTACATTTTAAACATTTTTATGCATTGTTGAAATTTTTATACTTGTTGATAAACTCTGTTTTAATGTATTAGAGTATAATCAGAATCTCTAAAAGGAATTTTTTATTGTAGTTTTTGTAATCATTAAAAGATAATTTTACATCGCTCCTTTCATTAAGTGTAAAATTTTTATCTTTAAACTTAAGTCCCTTTTAAAACAACTTTCGTATGTCTAATGTCTGTGGACTTTGGTAATGTTTCTTCATTTGTCAAGATTTTTTTAACTACTTGAGTCTTATATAGACGTATATTACTTCATAAAACATTTTCAGAGTTTTCATTTTCAGGACTGATATATATGGTATAAATTGTTCTGTGCTTAACATTTATGAATAAGTGTCTGAATGATATTTTATTTTGGCATATGTAACTAATTTTCTGTTTTATTGCAATTCTAGGCAAAATATCTCCGTCTGTGAAATGGAGCACATCTCACTGCCCCCAGCAGAAGCCTGCAGTTGCAGCAATCAGTCCTTTGACATCATTGGCTACGTCGTGTCCAACTTCATCTTTTCCTGGTGTTCTGGGTTCGGTTCCTTATCCATTGTCGTCAATCGACACCAAGCCAGCTTTAGCTTCTATGTTTTGATTGTTGAATAAATTCCCTGTCAGGTGTGCGTTTTCACCATAAAGTACACGCTATCCGATTTTAAGAAAAAGTACTTCAGGAAAAGTATTTTCCTGAATAAACGAGCATGATTATACTTTTCAAGGTATTTTAATAGTAAGCTGAGTACAAACCAAGGCTCCTGGTCTGAAAATAAAATTAATAAGACCTTGAATAAGGATAACTGTTAAAGAATTTTAATTTTTTTGGCGTAAAAGTAGTTTTAAAAATATAAATTCCCGGAAATCGGAAAAGATTTTGTATTTTCAAATGGGCGATTTTTTCCTTTCCAAATGATGCCTGTTTGGGGATGTTGAAAATTGTTTTTAGCAAATGTGTACTTCTGATATAAATATTTTACAATAAAAAAGATGTTAGATGTCTGATTTCGACATTCGCGAAAAATTTGATATCCGCGAAATCTTAAGAAAATTCATAAAATTCCCGAAAATTTTCATTATTCTTCAGAACATGATAAACCAGTTTTTTGTTAATATGCTTTGAAATACGTCGTTTACAAGACACTTGATGTCAGATATTTCGTTATAATTTTATTTTTGGAAAATAATAAATTATTTGGAAGCAAATGTTCTCATAATATATATTATAAGAAAAAAATAAATAACAATATAATAAAAATATGTTAATAGCATATTAAATGCCTCAAAATTAGAAAAAGTATTAATTTCATATAAAGCGTAATTTTAATCTTAAACAATGAAATGGCTAACAATTTTTCTTAAGCAAAAAAATAAATTATATTATGCTTAAGATACGATGACCCATATTTAAGCACTGTTTTTTAATTTAATAACATTTAATGGAAAAATGCATTTATAATCAACACTTCAGAAACAATTAAAAAACAGTTAAATAGATGTTAGTTTGAATAAAAATGTGTTTTGTTTTGTGTTCCCATGTTTCTTTCAAAATCGAACCTGCCTTGAATACCAAAATAGTTTTTAATTTGATATAATTTAGATGAGTAATACTGTGATTTATAAAATCAATATATTAAAATGAAAAGTGCATTTACGCTTTTATTTTTTTATGCTATATGGTATCTTATTTCAAGGATAAAATGTTATACAATTCTTGGATTACAGTTCATAAAAATCTGAGGAGAAAATAAATATAAACTATATTTTTATTTATCTATATTTTGAGTCTGAAGAAATAGTAATAAAAACGAACAATGATAGCCGATAACAAACCGAATTTCACATCATTAAGATCGGATAGTGTGCCCTAAAGTGTGATGTAAATATAGGCAAAAACCGTGCTGAAATAATTTGGTTTTCTTGTATTATTTATAAAATTTCTGCAGCATTGTATATAATAAGAAGTCTATCAAATATGAATACCTTCTCTATATCTACGCGAAAAAGAGAGTGGGTATATATAATTCTTTGTCTTACGGCTTATCATATAAGCCTATTTACATCGGAATGCGATAATTTCAAGAAATAAACTGACTTTTTAAAATCAGCTTGTACTGAAGATCTTGAAACAAACTTTATGTTGTCGCTAAGGTTGTTTTACTTTTATTGAATCTTTAAGCTGTAATGATAGCATTAAATGTAAAAAGGATATTTTTAATATTTTTAAGGTTTTTATACCTTACATTCTTTTGGATTAATAAAACTTAAATACACTTTGTGATTCATTTTACAGCGTTAAGTTTTCAAAATGCTTTAATAAAAGATTCAAGGAACGTTATTTTATATTCGAATTAGATCTGTTTTGATTTCAATTCTGTAAGAAAAATTCTCAAGCTTTTTATAAATTTCGTTATAATCTGCAATATTATGAAAAGCAAATTTTTCGTGGATATATGTAAAAGGACTAAGAAAGGAAAAAATGTAAAGGAAGAAAATTATAAACATTTCTTCCAAAAATAATTTAACCCAAACGTTATTATTCGACAGCATTTGTTTCATGATAAACTGTTTTTACTCTTTCCGAAGAATGAAAAGTGCATTTTTCAAATGTAATCGCGGAATTTTTTATTTTAAACACATAAAAAATAAATAAAAGCCTTTAACTAAGGAAAGTCAGAGATAAAAATAGGAACATTTAAAATAGATTTACATGCAGAGCTTTTCAATCTATTTTTGGCCTGCCAAATTTAAGTTGAAAAAACAAATAATTTTGTCCATTATGGTAAAAATGTCTCTTTACATATTTAATTAGAATGAAATAATTTCTATTATATTTTCATTCCAATGAAAATAGTATGTAAATTTTATTGCAGTTAATAACCTTTGCTTACTAAAATTAACCAACAAAAAGTACTAAGCGTTAAAAAAAAATCTAAATTTTATTTATTATGTTACTTAAAAACAGTATTTACAGAGCATTATTTGATATGTTTCAATTTTTTTTCTAAATATTTGATTTTTCTGCAAATTAGGATCAAATCATAATCAGAAATGAATATTATTAGCTTTAAAAATAAGCGTATAACCTTGTTGCAGTTGTTACTGATTCCCTTCAAAAAATGCGTCGTATATCAGTAAAGTAACGTAAATGTCAACGACTGCCAATTCATCTGAGCCTAATATGCATGCAAAAATATCGACTTTTGAATATAACTCACATAATCAATCACACTTTTATCTCTAATCCTTTTTGCAAATAATGACCAACATTAACGCGTAACTAAAATTCATCAGTTGACAGTTATTAATGTTCTGTCTTCACTTTCCTTCGAAGCTTCGACAACGGTGATTCAAGATCAATAATGGACCTATAATCAACAAAGACAGATATTAATGGAGTTCAATTAATCCTATCTCATCTCTTAATTAGCCTAATTTTACAAACTTCACAAAATCTATAATTGCCTAAAACACACATATCTACTCAGAAAAGACACTCAAAATAGCATGGTTATCTGATTGCTATATACTCAATTTCTTGATTATGTTAACGAAGCTTAGACAGCGTTTTTATATGTAGAACTTCCTCCGGTCATTAAGATCTGAGAGTATATAAAGTTGCTCCAAGACTAAAAGGATAAAAAAAAAGTTATAATGCATAAGTAGCGGATCACTTATAATTTTAAAATTATGAACTATCATACTTTAACTTAAATTCGCCTATAATGGTTCTAGAAAACGGGGGGAATTTTTCTGCGGCTTTTATTTGAAACAGACCAGATTCTTACATTATTCTGGGAAAATTGGCAACCTCTTTTTCACTTCTAGAAATTACTCAAAATTTAATGAGACTTTTATTTATTTTGTTCAGTTTTGTGTCAAGTAGATTTCTTCAACCACCCTATAGCACTTAAGATAAAATCTTTTCTGTATTGGGTAAAGTATCTTTTTGCAAGTGCGAGTATCTATTACTTTTTGAATGTTTATAATTGCAATTTATTAATGGATCAGACCTTTTAGCATGCAGCATTCACTTAATTTCGAAATAAAAGAACTAGAATACTTTCTGACTGAGCAAAAAAAAAAAAAAAAAAAAAAAAAAAAATAGTTTGATGAAAAGTTTTCACATAAATAAAACCAAATTGGATTCCGCCTGTTGTAAATTCTACTAAAAGCTGGGTATGCATTCCTAAAGCCACAGGACATTTAAATCAAATGTTTTCAAAAGCTATGCTGATTTTTAAGCACATTTTTTTATTAACAATGGAATGTATCCTACGTATTCATTTTTTTCAGTGCTCCAGCTTTGAGCCTGTTCGTAAGTTTGTTCAACTCATCTCTATCAAGTTCTTTCGGTCTCCTTGAATGCTATTTATCAATAAGATACATTTCTGCCATTTATAAACCTTTTAAGCCACTTTTCACAAACATTTTGGTATACAATGTTTTCTTTTCAGTCTTCCACTACACTTTAAATTCAGTTAAAACAAAAGTGTGTGCAGTACAATTTAACCGGTTACATTCTTACTTATCTAAAACAAAAATGAAGGAAACATGAAAAAAATGAAAACAAACTTAACATGCTTTATACAAATTTTATGTTGAGACGAAGGGACATATTAGGATTTAAGGGTATATGCTTCTTAAATTTATGGAATTCAGTAAAAAAATATCTAAAATATTTCTTAAATTTACGAAATTCAGTAAGAAAATGCACAAAATATTTCCATTTCTCTACATTTTCCTCTTATTCTCAATGCAATGAATATAAGTTGTAGTCATCTAAATTTTTTGATTTCTTTTGAAAGGATTCTGACTTCTCAGATTTTTCAGTTTCAGCTATAAAATTTTCTCTCTTTCGTCATATGCGTTTCATTTACAAGCTTGATAGCTTACTCGAAAACTATTTATCTAATGTTTCATTCTGATCTTTATTTAGTTCGTTATTCAATGTCGATTCCTACATGTTAATACAATATGCTTGCGTAATAACGCAAATTAATTTAAACAAATGCTAGTCGAATAATTTGATTTCCTGTTTAATTATCACTTAATAAAAAAGTAAAAATTTTTAAAAATGATTATATTGTGATAATTACTTCCTTAAAATTTATAGCTTTATTTTTCATTCGCAAAGTAATATACTGTTGAATAGAATCTACTATTTCAGTCTCAAGTCGCAGAGCTTTAAATTTAAAGAAAATATATTCACTGAAACAAAGAAGTTTCAAAATGAAAGTTTCTATTAAAATTTGTAAATATTTGACAAATATAGCGTATGAGGAAAAAGATTAAAAATGCTACGAGAGATAAGAGAATTAGAACAACGTTCTCTTCAAAACTTTTGTATATATTCTGTATGATTATGTCATATCATACAGAATTAGCAAGGTATGATTGAACTAAAAAAATTATATTGCATGAACAGTTTACAAATTGCGTTCAGGAAAAAAAGAAGGATTTAATTTTGAGAATTTGTTTTCAATGTAAATATCTTATATATTATAAAATAAACTGTTCTTAATGCAATATTATTAAGAATGTAAAGAATATCATGAAGAAAATCAAATGGTTGTGTTGAAAAAAGCATTTTAAATACTTTTTTTAAAAAATTTATTTGATGTGGAGCTATATTTAAATAATGAAATAAATATGGGTTTTAACTTAAAATTCACAGTTCAGTGAAGATTATAGAACCATATTTTAGAAAACAAACTTTGTTTTCATACAACCTTTGTTTTTATTTACACCCCAGGTTAATCAACCTTATCAGATAATAAATAAATAAAAGGTACTCAGTTTTTTACATGTCTAAAAAAATAATAATTTAGTTTAGTAGGATCTAAGCTGTATATAGGGTATTCAACAAAATTTGGATACTTTTTATAAAGTCATATAAAATCAGCAAACTGGTATTACAGAATGTGATTTGGATGAAAAAACTTATCACAGAGACATAATGTTTTTGAGGAGCATGGGGTATGAATTTCATTAATAAATTGCGCTATATTATTAATACCACTAAATTTTAAACTCTTTAAAAGAAGTACATAGACATCATTATGCTACAATATTGGTAGCACTGTTATCTGTTAGCAACAAACAAAGCATTTGTTTAATCAGGTATTGGAAACAGAATGTTTAAAATGAACATTTCTGAATTATTATGAATAGTTTGTAATTATGAACCCAGAGTTGAAATATGAACACCGGTCTGAAACTAAGAAGATTAATCTGAAGTCAAAATTGTGATCTAAAACTTGTAGCCTTTCATATATGAATAAGTTGTGAGAACTGTAAATAGAAGTCGCATGTAGAATTTATTCAAGGCAGTTTAAATAAACTGTTATGTTTTACCTATAAGTTTATACTTTATAGTCCATTTATATAAAATTAACTTTACTAGATTCAGTTAAAACTTTATGTTAAAATATAATGATATAGAATGCTTAACAATGATCTTTACTTTTATCAATCAGAATTCAATCATACTTATAAATAACATTTTATGTGAGTTTAAGAACGTAAATAATATATTAAGAAAAATTTACAACGAAATACTTCCGGAACTAAAACTAAAAATTAGAAAATAAAACTGGAAATGGTATTAAAAATTGGGACTTAAAAGGGTAAAATTATTTGCTGTTTCCTAGAACATAGAATAAAATAAAAAGAGTAACTTAACTATAGGAAAATTTTAACATTATATAAAGTTTTTCTCACTTCTTCATTCATTTAAAGTCATTCAAAAATAGTTTATAAGATAAATGAATCATAATTTTATACTACCATGAATTTTCACTTTGTGTGTATCACGTTTTACAGATGAAATTGAAATATATAATGTGATTTAAAATTGCGTAATTCTTTCTATTATTTAAGTACACTTAAAAGATCTTTGTGAGGCTTTCTTTAATTCCTTTCTATCGAAATTTTAAATTTATGATATTGTTTTTACATTAAAGAAATTAAGTAAAGTTGTTTATTATCACTTACATTGGCAAGGGTACTGTCACTTTTTATTTTAACTACTTTTTATTTTAACTATTTTAACTACTTTCAATATAGCGTTAAATAATTATCGAATGTTTTTCAATATGTTTTATTTTCAGTATGACTGAAGCCTTGAAACTATTTTTGTTCCATT